TCTATGCTCCCTCAGCTAGGTAACTTACTGCTAGCAGTTCCAGCATTGGAACATGCTGTAGGTCCGAGCCTCCCCCCTCTCGTTTGAAGAGCTGGGTTTGTTGCTCCCTCAGCTAAGTAAATTATTGATAGGTGTTCCAGCATTGGGACATGCAGTAAGTCGAGCTCCCCTCTCATTTGAGAGCTGGGTGTTTGCCCCCCTCAGCTAGAGATTTAATCTAGACAATTAAAATGTTGTTTGAAGAGCAACACTGAGCAATATGGACTTAATATACTACTCAAATTAGTAATTATTAAGATTGTCAAAACAGTTGTTAACGTGTTACAATAACCTTCCTTAATTAACCTTAGTTAATGCATTAAGTAAGGGATAATCAATGGCTAGCCGTGTATTAAAGGATTTTAAATGCACGACGTGGAGGCAAAGAACCGCCCGACGCGAAGCGGAGTACATTTAAAATCCTTTAATGCACGTCTAGCCGTTGATTATCCCGCTTATTCCATGGTCATTTGCCAAGTTATAGACAAGTTAAAACTAGTATTGCTCTTTGCAGCACAATATTTGACCGAATGGGTAAAAATGACAGTTATTTTCGTCAGTTACGGCACGCTAGCATTCTGCCCGCTTCAAATCATACACAGAGATGAAATAGTGTGGTAAGACCACATTTATTTTAATGAATTATAGCATGTATTTCAATTAATTATCGATTGATCGTTTGAGAGAGAGAGAGAGAGAGAGAGAGAGACAGAGAGAGATGACAGTTGTGTGTACCTGCGTGCTGCATCTGCGTGTCTCTCTGTACAAACAATTACTTTAAAAACAGCGATTTTACCACCTCATTGCTGAGTAATATAATGAAGCGATCTAGTATCTAGGCTATTTTATTAATGAAAATCACGGGGAAGCGTTGACAACAAGTTTGTGTGTGTGCAGCGCAATCAACGATCTCTCTCTCTCTTGTGTGTGTGTGTGTGTGCATCAATTAAAGCAGCGCATTAATATGGAACGGTGATTAAACTGACTTGGAACTACCTGTGCATTAAACAGTTTTACAGCATACCCGCCAGCCAATCAGAATCCAGTATTCAGACAGACCATGGAATAACTAGCATTAACTAACATTGAGCAATACATTTGTTACAGTATTTATGAATCTTTGTTAATTTTTGTTAGTTAACAAAAACACCTATTCATTGTTAGTTCGTGTAAGCTCAGGTTCATTAAAGGGGTCGTATGATGCTGCTAGAAAGAACATTATTTTGAGTATTTGGTGCAATGAAATGTGTTTATGCGGTTTAAGGTTCAAAAACACATTATTTTCCACATACTGAGTATGTATTGATAGATTAATGCTTATTAAAGCAATAACGTTATTCAGTCAGATTAAGAGCAGATTTGCATTTTGATGGCCCAAGCGCCAGTCTGTCACTTTAAGACAATATATTGACACACA